TGATTAGGAATGATTAGCAGTGATTAGGAATGATTAGGAGTGATTAGAATTGATTAGGAAAATGAATAAAAGTCATATATTATTTCATGTCCCTATGCTTCTTTACTTGCGTTGTATACGGAAAACGAAACTGTTTTAAGCCATTTAATAGATTATGTTGCCATTAGATATCATTACCTATCTTAAAGTACCCGAAGCTTTTGCCTTAACTCTTTTGCATTGTTTTTCAATTTATGGATTTTAAGAAGAAGTAACACGAACTATCAACAAGTACATATATTTCTAATTTCAAGAAAAAGTTTATGCAAAGAAAAGGAAACAATTCATCATTTTTTTGATGTTTGGATAACTCGTGATAATCTATCAGTAGATAAGCTATTATTATCTCTTGTAAGAAGATAACAAGCTGTGGACTTATGTAAGAACTTATCCACATCATTGATTTTAATCTTGAAATATGATTTCTCTCGATCAGCTGGTACATTGTCTTTGATATTTAATCCATCAAAACTTGTTTTAAATGATTTTAATTGTTCGTCGTCCATATTGTCATCATCGTCATCTTCTGCTTCGCTACTACTTGATTCGTTGTGTCGAAAAATTCATGAGAAAATGAGTGATACGATGTATGATCATCGAATTCGAAGTAATCTTTCGTAATTTCCTTCGCATTTTGCTACAGGTGATGAAGAGGATAATTTTACGAAAACATGCATAGAAAAAGAAACAAAAACTTTATCTAATGTCATAATTAATATGTAACTTACACTGAACTGATATCATCATCGTCATCACCATCGAGATCAAATTCTGAATCTGAATCATCATTGTCATTCTCAAAAAGTTGTACGTTATCATGTAATTTTGATTATAATCTTAGATGATTGTGCAAATATTCACTCAACGCATTCATATCAAACAACTTGTGCTTCTTCAATAACTAAAATATTCAGAAAAAATTACAATCAATACAATTGTTCATTCTTTTCTTCTTTAAACTACGCAAATCAATCTTTTATTTGGATTTACGAAGGAATCGCGCAGCATATCGAAGAATTCATGTGTAAATGATAGACAGCTTACGGATGAAATGTTGAAATTTTCTGTAATACTAACAGCTGATTGATAAGCTTGTATGACAGTGTTTTCCACATTCAACATGCTAATATCAATCAAATTTTGATTGTTTCTTGTTGTATTAAGTGAGATATGTTTATGATGAACTGGAAACTTTAGTATGGATATTGATTTGTCCTGAGATTTAAATCCATTTAGAATTGAAAGCTTTCTTGACCGTCGTAAAAAATCTTCTACAGTGTAATTTATGACTGTAGAGAAAGTTTCACTAAGTGAACGTGTATTGCGAAAAGTTGATTAGCATGTTTGCGATGAAAACAGATGGATGTTCAATACTTCCACAGGTAATTGTTTTTGTTGAACAAGAATAATAAGATAAGTGAGGTAATGAGCATTTAGCTCCGCGGAAAAAAATGCAGTACGAGTAACAAAATATCTCTCACGACAATTTTTTCTGGATTTTGTGCTGGATGAAGATAAAGATGATAATCGTAGAAGCAATAACCACACCCACCATAAACGTAGAAGAAAAACAGCAGTCCAAGCACCTTTTAAACCTACACAACAAGGAAAAACATGTAGATCAACGCTCTCCGTATGCATAATATTTCTAAAAGAGTTAGCTGTACCACTGATATTAATATACAGAAAATTATCAGAACTATAATGTTGTCTTCAGTAAAAAACTAAAATTGAATTGCTATTTAGTTAAGACTGAAATTTGCAGCAAAAAGATAACTTTTATTTACAACAACTGAGTTAGTTCAATTAACGAGCATCTCAAAGAGAACCTGAATAATGAAGCTGAAACATACGTTCTTCAATTGAGATTGTTGGTTCGATATACGAAGTTATGATCAATTTTATCAATTTTAAATACATGTAAGTTCCACTAGAATTATCATCACGAACTATTAAATTTAACACATCACAAGATGTAATTCTCAAACAAGAACGAAAATTTTGACGATCTGTTAGTTTTAGATCACTTTGTGTCAATCCATGATCTAGCCGAATCATTTCTTCGTTATCAAGTAATTGTTGTAAATGTTTCATTGTTATACATTTATCACCAACTTGTAAAGCTGCTGTTGCAGATAATAAACGGTTTCTTAGCTTTGTGACCAGGTGAGTTGCATCTTGCATAAACACGAAAAGCTGCTCAGATCTTAAAAAATACCAAGACCAATTACCAGTTTGAATTGAAAACATACAAGAATCAACATGTACATCAAAATTCGATAAGCTTGCATAGAATCCAGACATCAAACGCATAGCACGAAAATATTTATTATCAGCATCTAAAGTATCACGAAGAAAAAAAAATTTTAAAGTATGTATCTTCTTTTCTATTTCATCAACATAATATTGTAATAAAAAAAAGTCTTTTATAATGAACGATATCTTTTTATTCGATTATTTTTTGTAAAGATAACATGCTGAATGTCCATCGGAACTTTTGATTCTATGTAATTTTGAAAACAAACTGGTCTTTTTATTTTCTTTTAGTGTTTTGAAGCGGGAATTAAACGAACTATTTAATGGTGATTTCAAATAGCTATGAATGAAATTATTAATCTCTGAAAATGACTTGAATTTACCGGTGGAAAATCCGAGGATTCGCACATTTTGTTCAATAGAATTCTTGTGAATGAATAGCCATCGCCTAAGAATATCCAATGATGTAAATTTACTGCTGGTGCCATAGCTAGCGAGAACAAAACTTGGTGGTGTTACTGTTTGATTGGGTGGTGGAACAGCTTGAACACAATGAATGTTCAATATTGGAGCCTTTTCATTTTTATCCATCCACAACTTTAATTCAGAGATTGAATCTGTTTTAAAATGACATGGTAATGGTACACCACCAGATAGAGGAGTTGAAAAACCTATAAAACTATTTGTATGCGTGTCGTATTTGATCCGTCGCACCACATCTGTGCCTAGAATGTTATAAAAGATCAATTAATAAATTCTCAAGGAGGAAACGACAGACTCCAGAACTTCAGGAATTCCAGAGACTTCATGGGGCTCCATTATATTCGCGGAGTTCCTTGGAGCCCTATGGAATCGAATGGAATCTAATGGAGCTCCTTAGAATCCAAGAGTTCTGGAGTCTGCTATTTCCTCGTTATAAATTCCATTTCTTATTTGTTTGTATTAAACAGTGTTAATTCACTGTTGCTGCTATTATCAAGAGAATAGAGATGAGTAAAGCAAACCTTCTCTATCATTTAGTAAAGACATAGTTCAAATTTCAACAGTCAAACAAAGCTGGTTTTCTCATATTTTCTCAATGAAAAGCACTTTTGTTTCAAGTGGACTGAAGGAGCTTTCAAAGGTTTAGAAAGTATATGATTGTAATTTGTTTTATGTTCCATGACATGATTTATTTATTCATAATTGAACAAACAGGAATGAATTTATTTCAGATTTACTCTTAAATTTTATTCTTTGTAGAAACAAAATGTTTCAGAAAAAATCGTTGACAAGATGACAATCAAAACCTAATCGATATTATTCATGAAAAACTTACAATCTTCTGCACAATATGTATATTGAACACCGAAAGTATTGAGATACTTTGCCATTTTATTGAATCGAAATTTACCTTCTGTTAAATTATCATCATTATTTTGTATTAAACTATGAATTGTTGTAAGATTTGGCAATGATCCTGGCAAATTTAACCGGACAAACTCATAAGTTGTCTTTCCTCCAAGTATGTACAAGCAAACGGCAAAACTTTTCAATTTGTCATCATATCTATATCGACTCGTATTAGATAAAGATAAATTTTTCGTTATAGTATTTATAAATAGTGATAAAAATTCATGTTGATCATTTGTTGTATTTTCATTCTCATAGAAATTGAGAAGTGAAAGAAGAATTGGATGTTTTCGAAGTAGTATATCAATCTTTTCAAATGTAAGAGACGATGATTTTGTATATTTCTGATCTGATTTTGATTTCAATAATTTTGATAAATATTCGTATTGCAATTTTAAACCAAGTTTGACTTGAAATGTACCATCATTTGAATCGAAACCTGTTTTTGATTTCAAATCTCGTAATATTGTAGAATCATGTTGGAATATTTCAAAAATATCACTTGTTTGTAAAAATATAAAAACTGAATCAATATCCTGTATTTTAAGTACTTCAGTCAATAATGCACCACTCATACTTTTTGTAAATCGATAGAAATCATCTCCTTCTAATTCCAGAACATTTTCTGGTAAACGAGAATTATCATCGATACTGACAGCTGCAGCCATAATTCAATAACTAATTTTTCAGTGCGTGTAGCAAAATCTAGAATGAGAACATAAATTCTGAATTTATAAACAATATAAAACACAAATCAAGAGAAATGATATATGTTTTTCAATTATTACTTTCACACTTTTAATATTTGTATCACATATCTCGCAAAGATTAAATTAGTATTCTGGTGAAGGCAATTAATGCCTTTTGACTTTCGTTTCCTATCATTTTTTATGCATAAAGTTCAAATTTACAAAAATAACTTTGAGTGACGATCAACTAGAACCTATCCGAATCAAACTCGATACATCAATATCTATAGTATTATGAATAAAAGTGTATTTCTCTTTATTTGAATGAGACCGATAACATTGGTTTTCACTGATGAAAATGGAAATAAGATGATCTTTTGGTTTGTATTTAATGTTTATCAGAATACAGAACGTGATCTGGACTGAAAAGAAGAAAATACGCTTGTCTGGTCATGATATTCATTTGTGTCCATTATGTTGAACATCGTTGCTTTTGCAGTGTAGCAGCAGCTGGTTATCTTATTGAATTCGAACATTCAATAGCCAAATTAATAAGTTGAACGTGAAGAGAAGGAAAGAAAAGAATATTGAGAAAAATATATGTAACTATCAAGCCCTTTTCTTTCTAGTTGTACTGTTTTCGTCCATGTTGTGTAGTGTATGTATTTGACCACGAGACATCCCTAGATTTGATTATCTTTTCTCTACCTCGTTTCCACGTCTATCTTATTTAAAATTCCTTAGTCATTTCTATCTTGTTAAACGTTGAACATACACCATTATTACTCTATCAACTATCTACAACATGTCTCTTTCTAATGTACCAAAGTTGCAAGAA